TCGTGTTAATTTGCTTATTTATTTTTCTTGCTATTTAATTTGCATTTAATATTTTAGTATAATTTAGTTAATCTTCTCTAAATTCGACTGTGTAGGGTGAGCTTGAACATAGTTGGGATAATCTAGCGCTTAGAATTAGATAGTTGAATATTCTCGTAGGATCGATACTTGAACTTAAAAATCCATTATATTACTTGTATGATACGTGCACCTGCGTGTAGATATTTCCACCAACATCAGGCAACTAAGTTGCTACCTAAACCCATTGTTAAAGTTTATCGCTAGACGATTATAAAGTTTGGTAGTTGCTTACCTTTAAAATATAATATTCTCATGGACATGACCATTCGTAGTCACGAGCCCCTTTATTGCGGATTTCAATTTCAATGAGAGTTGGTTCCTTGTAGGTACCAGGTCCGGGTTCGCTATCTTAACGTATTGTTGAGTCAATATGATTTACATTCCTCCATTAAATATTTGTCGGGCCAAGGGATGGGGGCCCTGGGGTATATCTCTTTCGCCAATAATCTCATCCATTTAATATGTATTATATGACAAACTTACCTCCAATCATTTACACCTAATTCTTAATTGTACCCCAATTTAACCAATTTTGACCACAAAATCTAATTGTAATTTTTTTTTCTGGTATGTTTTTTCCGTCGTTGACCGTCAGTCTTTGGCGTTTGACTTTTTCGAATATTTTTTTTTCTTTCCTAATTTTTTTACCCTCGCCGCTAAACGTTGACCGTAATTGTACTGTGATTAACAGTAGTTATACGGTCACTAACACTACATTAACGTAATTATACTATCGTTGACATTACATTAACGTAATTGTACTGTCGTTGACAGTAAATTTATGTAATTGTTATGTCGTTGACAGTACATTTATGTAATTATACTGTCGTTGACAGTGTAATTAGAGTCAGCTATAATATTATCATTTTTTTAGTTTTTTTTTTTTTTGATTTGTTGACAAGTCAACGTAATTATATTATTGTCGTTGTCGTTGACAGTAAAATAACTATAAACACAATAATATTACTGTCAACCACATCAATATTATTATTTTTTTTGAGTTTTTTATTTTGTTTGAGTTGTTAACGAATTAACGTAATAATAATTATGTCTACTATTGTAATATTACTGTAAACACAATAATATTACTGTGGTTGACGGTAATATTACTGTTGTTACAGTACTATTACTGTTAACCACATCAATATTATTTTTTTTGGCTTTTATGTTTACTCTAGTTGAACGGTCAACATATTAATATTACTCTATTACACAATAATAATGACTTTTGTTGTGTTAATGTTACTGTACTAGAGATTAATATAACAATATTACCGTGTTAAACTGTAGTTAGTCAATATTATTGTATTTAACAGTAATATAATTAATATTAGTGTCAACCACAACAATATTGTTGTTTAAACGGGGGCAAAAAGATTTTTTTTTTTTAAATAAATCAGCGCCTCCAGAGACCGGCGTTGACAGCCGGTCAGCGGCGGCAGAAGCCAAAAAAAAAATCAAAAAAGTCAAAGCCGAAGACCGGCATTGGCCGCCGTTCAACGCAGGAAACCGGCGGAAAATAAGGAAGAAAAAAAAATCAACGCCGGAGACCTGCAGTAAACGGCGGCGACGGACGAAATTGTACTCAAAATTGTGTTTTGGGTCAAAATTGAATAATTTGTAAAATTTGGGGTCAATTTGAGGTTAAATTAAATTAAATGATGAAATTGGAGCATATTAAAATGTGAGGGGCTATTTTGATCTTTTACAAACTTCTGGACAATATGTGGATTTTTTTGTAAAATAGTTCTTTGTCTAAATCCCTTTGTGAATAACTACCCATTGATGGACTTATTTGTAAAGTGCCCAATTATTAATATTTTGGAGCCATTTGATATACACTCCTTATAAAGAACCAGAAATCAATATTATGTCGGTAGTATATTACAAGAATCAACTTGTAAGATCCCGAAGTTGGCTGTAGAACAGCTAAGGAGAATTAACTCTTAACATACTCAAATATTCATTAAAATGCGTCCATTAAAATAAGCCAAATTAGCAACCTATTTATAAGTGTCAAAAAAACTCCTTGGACTCCTACCTAAACTATAATAAGGAAACTAATAAATAAGCAAATCATAACCATAAAGAACTCTACAATAATAAAATTACATTAAATCCTAATATTAAAACGTGCATAAATAAATTAGATAACTTGATCTTCAAGTCGACTTCTCGGTCACCTTCTAAACTCGCGTCTACATTTGATTGTGCACGTGCATGCACTCAAAGCTCGATTTCGATAATGTTCCACTTCGGACCACTCTTAGTTAAAAACATGAAAATTGTAGATCTTTCAGTTAGCTTCCGAAACATGTTAATTCAGCGTAAATGTAATTCATATGAGAGAGTTATAAGCAGAATGGTAAACTCTGCCACAATCATACGGGACTTTCGGGATGCATGATATTCGACTTGGCCTACGAATTTCCTTTTCTTTTCTTCCAATTACAAATCAAGGACTCTTCAAAGGCCTGATTTAAGCATTTATTCTTCAATTCCAACACGAACTGCCCCATTAATCTCACTCGCTTTCTCTTCTTCCAATTCTTCATCTTTGAGCTTGTGTGGATCGTATCATACTCCCCCTCTTTAAAAGAATTCGTCCTCGAATCCAGACAAATATAAAAAGGAACATATAGAAACCATCTTTCACGATCATCTTCAAACAGTTGTAGCTCATATGGTCTAGAATAATCCAAAGTTGATACACTAAACATTCCAAGTATAAAGTCGCAATAATTAAACTCAAATATACACCTTCATGGCACTGAGTAGGAACAAGATAATCTTCGTGTATTGCATCACCAACTTCATCAACATGCACAATTGGAGTTTGCACTCCGGTTAGATCGGCATTAACTTCGATGCATGGCTGAGCTGTATCAGTCCTTGTCCTTTTTTTACAAAATGTCGCGACATATTACACCGTGCCAACCTCTCTAGATCATCTTTTAGGTGATGTCAGTCGTTCATGTTGTGCCCATATTCGTTGTGGAAATGACAGTGTCCACCAATGTTTGGGTCACCGCGGGGACTTTTTGTGCATGTAGAGGGACACTTAACCTTAGGCTCGCTCTCGATGTCCCGTAGTATTCGTGCCGGAGGGCTAGACAGAGCGGTATAGTGGTGGAATCGCGGGCCAGGCCATGTCCTTCTCTTCGAGATAATTGATGCTCTCCAGCCATGCATGGTGACCTCGATTTGCTTAGGATGTACAGAACGAGCTTCTCTTTTTTCCTTGGGGTTCCTCCGCTCACTCAGCCTCTTTCATGCTTCTGGTTTCTTCCATATTGATGTATCTTTCAACTCTTTTTAATAACTCATCATAGGTGGTCGAAGATTTCTTTGCTAGCGAACTGAATAGGTCGTTGTCCTTTAGACCATGCATTGGGGCGTTAGTCAAGATGTCCTCTTAGAGGCCAGGGACTTCGAGACTTGCGTTTGTGAATCGTCCAATGTAGTTTCTTAAAGGCTCGCTCCGCTCCTGCTGAACATTAAACAAAATGAGGGAAGACTTCTTCTGTTTTTTTCCAACTAGCAAAGGGGTCTAAGAGCATCGAGCTGAATTCTTCAAAAATTGTGAATCACTCTATTGGGCCAATATATTTGGTAATTAATTTGATAACCATGGTTGGAGTAGATGAATTTTAATGAATATTAAATTATTACTCCATTCTACTCTCAATTGCATCGATCTGCCCCCTGTACTTGAAAAATTGTCTTAATGTGGCCCTCGCCGTTAGTTTTCAGACCTTTGACCTTAACACCGTTTGATCGAAGTTTGAAAATTACAAAAAAGCCACCCTCCCAGTTTAAATAATTATTAATTAAAAAAAATTGTGGCTGGCGTCGTGGACTATGTTTTCTCGATGTCTTGAATTTTATATTATTTTATTTTTTGTTTTATTTATTTATTTATTTATTTATTTTTTTTTTTTTAATAATTATTTAAACTGGGAGGGATGACTTTTTTGTAATTTTCAGATTTAGATCAAACAGAGTTAAGGTCAAAGGTCTGAAAACTAACAGCGAACGCCCCATTGAGACAATTTTTCAAGTATATGTGGGAAATCGATGCAATTGAGAGTAGAAGGGGGTAAAGTGATATTGAGCCAAAGTATAGGGGGCAAATCGATGAATTGAGAGTAGAAGGGGGTAAAGTGATATCGAACCAAAGTACAAGGGGGCAAATCGATGCAATTGAGAGTACAAGGGGATAAAGTGATATCCAACCAAAGTACAAGGGGGAAAGTGGAATTTATGCCCGCATGGGTGTAGCTCAACTGGTTCCGGAGGTGGTAAGTTGGTGCAAGGTCCTAGGATCGAATCCTGGCAGCCGCAGTGTGGGAATTTCAACTCCAATGAGATTGGTTCCTTGTGGGCACCAGGTCCGGGTCCGCTACCTTAACGGGCCGTTGAGTTACCATGATTTACATTCCTCCATCAATCCTTGTCGGGCCAAGGGATGGGGGCCCTGGGGGCGAGGGATTTCGCCTTTTTTGGTGCAGGGAAAGTGGAATTTATCCTATTATATATAAAAAAAAATGACCGGAAAAATAGAAAGAAAAAGAAAATGATCACTAACTTGAACCAAAGCAGCCTAGTGGGACTTGGAAGAAGCATCTACGCAATAGTTGGCTAATCAGTATATATATTATAATATTATCATTTTATACAAAAGCAACTAGATGAATTGACATATTATTTCAACCGTTGATATACAGGAAAGTCATCTAATCGGAAGGCCAAAACCCTTAGAAGACTGGGCACATCATTTTCGTCAGCACTTTGACCAGAAACATCGTTGCACGCACATTAGAAACAACGCTGGAAACTTCTCTCACTATGTATCAGAGTGTGTGTGTGTAATGTGTGTATATATATAGCCAACAATCTCCACACTTAAGATTCCACACATTAGGTTTTATCATAACTACGTTTTTTTTCCCTCTCTAAAATTTGAAAAATCTGAGATTTATTAATATTTAATTTTGATGGGGAACCCAGATGAATTAGTTTCAGCAATTGATAGAATTAAAATGCATCTTCTGGGAGAATTGTCTCCCCGTGATATCGGTAGCACAACGACGTCGTTTTTCAGTTCTGGATCTGACTACTATTTATCGGATCCTGGGTTTTCAGTTTCCGATTATTCCGTCGATTATCAGCAAAATAATCCATTTTTGCCGGTTATTGATCTGACGACGCCGAGATCGAAGCCGTCACTGCGGATTGAATTGCCGGCGGCGGTGAACAAGTTTGAGTGGATTGACTTCCAGGAATCCAGTCAAGCGGCAAATCCGGTGGTGGAAGAGGAGCAACCGCAACGGCACTACAGAGGGGTTAGGCGGCGGCCGTGGGGCAAGTACGCGGCGGAGATCCGCGACCCCGCTCGACGCGGGTCGAGAGTGTGGCTGGGGACTTTCGAAACTGCGGCGGAGGCGGCCAGGGCTTATGATAGAGCCGCGTTTGAGATGCGCGGAAGCAAGGCGATTCTCAACTTTCCGCTGGAAATCCAGCGAGAGGAGTGCGAGCGGCGGGCGGCGGCTGAGGTCGGAGGGAAGCGGCGGAGAGACGAGGAGGAAGAAGTTGCAGAAATTAGTAGGCCGAAAATGGTGAAATGTGATAGTGAGTGGGCCCCGCTTACGCCGTCGTTTTGGCAGTTATCTCCATATGGAGCTATCCTCAGCTCCTAGTGCTAAGAACTTGCTTGTATATTGAAAACAAAAAAAATAGAAATATCCAAGGACTATAAAGCAAACATTTTTTAATTAACAACTAAATTTCAATTTGATCCAAATATAGGATTATTATTTTTATCGATAAAAGAGGAGTAATATTAAGAGTCATGGTTCGCCGGAACGGGAACGGTGCCCTCCGTTCTGGAATCCGTAACTAAAACGGTGTTTGCACCATGACTCGTCGGAACGCCGAGAAATCGGTGGGATGGGCGAGACAGAGCCACGGAACGGCCCCGACGCGGCCGGAACGGCACCAGAACGGTGCCGGAACAGGAAAAATGAATTTGAAAAAAAAAACAAATTTAACTAAAACAAACATAAAAGAAAAAATATGTGACACCCCCTAGTATTCGTATAGCAACCCGAGAGGGTTTGCCATGCACGGAAGCTTTAAAGGTATTATTTAAGTAATTGTGTATGTGGGTAGACTCCAAAAGGGTTTAGGGAACCGATTACACCTTAGTATTATTTTCTTTGAGACTTAGAATTTAAAGACGGAGTCGGCTTCGGAAAAGGTTTCGGCGGAATGATTTAGTGGGATGGTGGAGCATACGTCTATTTACCCAATGATTACGTAATATAGACTTTTAAGTGGTGTCACCTTGATAAAACATAGAAAAAGGTTAAAGTCCATAATTAAAACTACATATTAATAAATGGACCATAGTTTAACAAAAAGGGGCCCACATTCGGAGAACTTAGTCTCCTTTACCACGGGTAATAATACACATGAGCTACTATAGAAATCGTAATTGTCCTAAGGACAATGTACACAAAAGATAGTACTACAAGCATTATAAGTAGATCCTCCATACGAACCAAAAACCCGGAATCGGCCTCTCGAAACGTCGACTAGTCCAATCCGGTGGAGTGAGTAGTACTAGTACCTGCAAACGGAGAATATCTATATGAGCTAACAAAGCTCAGTAAGGTTATCGAAAGATACCAAGAATTTAAAATATAGTTATACTACATATACTATATAATAATAACGCAAGCACCACAACAATTGACATAATTTACATTTAGAGTACATATAATTCCTTAGCTATAGAAACATAAGAATTCTTCTTTTTATCGGATCCGATGAGAAATCAACTCCTTTACTTAGAACACGAGAAAATTATTCTGAGCCCGTTTTGGTGGAATCAAACCACCCAACTGTAGTATCTATGGTTGGAATACCGGCCCCCCGTATCCTTTCTCGTCTTTTCTAAGTATTTCATTAATTCCCCAATTTATTTTATTTAATTACACAAATGGCACGGCTGAAGTACTTAGAATTTCGATTGGGTAAATAAAAGTATAAATATTCCACAATAACCCATAAGAAATATAAAAGTCACAAAACATCACAAATATCAATCAAGTGACCATTAAACACATGTTTCACATAAACTTGGCTTTTATCGAAAAGCACATTAAAGCATACTTACCCCAAAATAATACTCAAAACATTCAAAACCAATCTTATTGCTAATTGATTCTAGGATTTAAGGGGAAAACATGCTAGGGTAGGAGGTTTCGGTTATTCAGCACAACACCCCTGAACTTCTGAAAATTACAGTTCTGCCCCCAAAGTTTAAAACTCACACATGCAATATGATCTAAAGTTCAAAATTCATACTTTCACAAAATCAACCCTTGACTTAACTGAAATTCAATTTAATGCAGAAAACTCAGTTAGAATGATTTGATGCCGAATTTCCAGAAATTACATAACTCACCCTAGATTCTCTAGATCTATACATGCAAGACCTCTAGAAATTCACAAGTTCCATTTTCTGGTAAAACCCCTTTAAAACTGAATATTTTCCTTTCATTAAATGCTGGAAAACAGACCTGGAATTCTAATTGGACCCAATTTCTCGAAAATTACAGATTTACCCCAAAACTCTTTCCAATAACACATGCAACAACACTAAAATTTCAAAATCCACTTTTCATGAAAAATCCCCAAGAATCCGAAATCTTTATTCAAAATATGCAGAAAACGAAGTTAAAAATTTTAATTTATGCAACAACTTTGAAAATTCCATTTTCCACCCCAAAACTTTTAGATCCATACATGCAAGGCCACTAGAAGTTCAAAAATTACTCTTTTCTTAAAAATTTCCCTAAATCTGAAATTTCAGTTCAATAAATGCTAAAAATCATTTTTGAAACTTATATGAATCTGACTTCTCACAAATTGCAGATCTGGCCCGAAAATATGCCGATTTATACATGCAACCCCAAAACTTTTTCAAATTCAATTTCTTCACAATTTTCGAAACAACTGAAAATTCTTTGAAGGTAATCAACTCAAATCTACCATTTAAGACCTCTGATCATACATGCAATAACATAAATCATATGAACTAACAAAAAGGAACAAATAAATGCAAGAATCAACACAAACAAGAATTAGGGGTGTCTTTTAATTAATTTCGAAATTTTATCCTTAATACTTGATACCTCCATTTGCAGCAAGGATTTCGATTCCTTACCTTAAAAAAACAGAAAGGAAAAAGGCTAGATGAAAAGGGGAAGGTTCTTGGGAGCCTTCAAAGAAAAACCGAAAGTTAGAGGGGGAAAAACGAAGAAGAAAGAAGAGGTGGAAGAACTTGGAATGGCGGATTCTTACCTTCTTCAAGCTTGCAAATTCAGCCAAGCTACCTTAATGTGGAAAGACACCGTATAGATTTCTAGGTGGGAAGTGTTTTCATTTGTGAAGGGGCACCATGTATTTATAGTGTTCTTGGAGAATTCAAGGGCAAGGGTGAGATAGGGAATTCTCATTTTTAGTTTGGGGAATATCTTGCTGAATCGGGGGTGGTTCGAGCTTGGAGGAGCTGCTATCAATGGTGGTTTCGGAGGAAAGAACAAGGGAGAAGAAGAGGGGCTTGGTGCAGCCGAAATGAGGGGGAGGGAGAGACTCTTGACCTTCTTATGGAGCATGCTAGAGGTGGAGTGTAGGAATGGTTTAGTAGGGGTTAGGCTAGGCTTTAGGATAATCATTTACTTAATTTCAAATTATTTAATAATCCACCCCTAATTACACACACACACATACACGGCACACACATACATATATATATATATTATATATTATGATAATTCCTAATATGCATGCATAATTACCGAAACACATAGGCACATAAGGTCACGTAATAAATTTGATATCTAATAATTCGGATATCAATAATTCACATATAGCCCTATGTTTTTGGAAAATCTAGCATTTACGTGACTAGAGGTTTTATTATCGTGTTTTGAACACGTGGGGTGTTACAAAATAAATAAATAATATGATGGTGGTGGTCACATTAGATAATGAAGATTTCCCTGAATAACAGATCTTTGGCCTCACTCTTCAATTATATCCTACACAATTTCAGCTCGGTATTCTACTTAGTAATAATATTGTTTGTATTTTCATAATATTCTTTGTAATATTTATTTTATAAATTGTAAATTATTGAATTGTAATATTGTTATTAAAAACATATTTGAAATATATTGTATTTTTGTAACAATTTAATTAAAATGTGTCCGTTCTGACCGCGACGTTGCAGCAGAACTGGAACGGTACTGTCCGCGACAATGCATTGTTTAGTTCCGGCGAACCATGATTAAGACAATGGAGCAAATGTTGGTGTACCACCATCACAAAAACATGGAAGAGGAATCACATTTGGAGGAACAATTTCTTCCCACCTTTCTTTTTCAGCGCACTAAGAGAGGTTGTGGGCTACAAAATTTGATGACATTAACATTCCAATCAATGGTGCAGTTTTGATCGTGGATAAAAGTAGCGTTTAGACAATTGGATTAAAAAATCAACAACTCTTTCTTTGCATGGTTCAAGAAGGGCAATGTTTTCTGCCACAATTGGTTCCAATCACAAGTGATATGAAGCGTGGGAAAGAAGAATTGGTCCATTTGCATTTCTGACAATAAATGCAGGAGAGGAAGCTCCATTTTTAAAAGTTGCATTGGAATTGGTTTTCAGTAGGGGTGACAATTTGGATCCGGTTTCACGGATCCGATTAGATCCGGTTCGGTCCATAAGGATCCAGTTTAGATTAAGTCTAGTTCAAACAAACCGGATCGGATCAAGTTGATTTTTTTTTTAAACTGGATCCATGTGGATCCACTTTAGATCCATTGAAAGTTTAACCACAAAATAAAGTGGGTCATATTGGATCCAACCAAAATCCAATCAAATACCAAAACAATTTTCTCACAAAAAAAGTCAAATATTATTTTAATTAAAAATTTAATTGTAAAACTGTGTGTGTGTGTATGTGAGTGTATGTGTGTGTATATATAAAAACACACACACACACATATATATATATATATATATATATATATATATATATATATATATATATGAGAAATATATTTGGAGAAAAGAGAGAATCAATTATCTCTCACGTATATTAATCATATATATAGTTACATGTAGGAAACCCTAATCCTAACTACACAAGGTAACCTATTATACAAGGTAACTAGAATAAATAGGAATAATAATAATATACGTAATATATATATAAAAGATACGATAATACACCCCCGCAGTCGAAACGGGAAAGGAGAGGACGTGGAGACTGGAGACAAACTGTTGGAACAGTTGAGTAGGGAGTCCTTTCGTGAAGATATCGGCAAACTGGTAGGCGGATGGGACGTGAAGAACTCGAACGTGTCCCAAAGCAACTTTGTCTCGGACAAAGTGGATATCGATCTCCACATGTTTCGTACGAGAGTGTTGAATAGGATTGCTGGATAGGTAGACGGCACTGACGTTGTCACAGTAGACAATAGTGGCTTTCGAAAGTGGGCAGAGCAGCTCAGAAAGTAGGTTGCGTAACCAAGTCGTTTCGGCGACGGCATTTGCGACAGCTCGGTATTCGGCCTCCGCACTCGATCGAGAGGTAGTGACCTGTCGTTTGGAGGACCAAGAGATGAGGTTGTTGCCGAGGAAGACACAATAGCCCGATGTCGAACGACGAGTGTCAGGGTAGCCACCCCAATCGGCGTCGGAGTAAGCGATAAGGGAAAGGTCCGGATTGGGGGAGAGCTGAAGGCCGTGATCGAGAGTTCCACGAATGTAGCGAAGGATACGCTTGAGAGCGGCCATATGAGGTTCCCTCGGATCATGCATGAATAGACATATTTGTTGCACAACATAGCAGATGTCAGGACGAGTAAACGTGAGGTATTGCAGTGCACCGGCAAGGCTGCGATAAAGAGTAGGGTCTACAACGGGGGGTCCAGTGGTCGAAGACAACTTGCTCTTTGTGTCAGCCGGCGTAAGACAAGGGTTGCAGGAAGCCATGTGTGCACGCTCTAGGATCTCGTCGGCGTACTTGCGTTGAGAGAGAAATAGCCCATTCGACGAGCGAGTGACTGAGATGCCGAGAAAGTAGTGAAGATCGCCAAGATCCTTCATTGCGAACTCTTGATTAAGGGCAGCGATGATGGAGCGGAGCAATTCAGGTGTTGAGGCCGTAAGTACAATGTCATCGACATACAGCAGAAGGTAGGCGCAGGAACTGTTGCGACAGTCGCGTGAACTGTTGCGATAGTACACAAAGAGTGAAGTGTCGGACTTGCATTCTCTGAACCCCATGGTAGTAATGTGAGATGCAAAACGCTTGTACCAAGCACGTGGTGCCTGCTTGAGACCGTAGAGTGCTTTGTTGAGATGACACACGTGAGTGGGGCGAGATGGATCGACGAATCCGGGAGGTTGCTCGCAGTAGACAGTTTCAGAGAGATTGCCATGTAAGAAGGCATTTTTCACGTCAAGCTGGTGGATTGGCCATGATCGCGAGAGAGCAATACTGAGAACTGTTCGAACAGTGGCTGGTTTGACAACTGGGCTGAAAGTCTCGTCAAAGTCGATTCCAGCCTGCTGGTAAAACCCACGAACAACCCACCGTGCTTTGTATCGCTCAAGGGAGCCATCAGACTTGAGTTTCTGTTTGTATATCCACTTACCAGAAATAACATTAGTGGACGGGGGGCGGGGCACAACATTCCAAGTATTGTTTTTAATTAAAGCAGTATATTCCTCAATCATGGCGTTTCGCCAGTTTTGGTCAAGAAGAGCTTGGCGATAGTTGGTGGGAATGGGAGAGGTAGAGGATGCAACGAGAGAGAAAGGGACTTTGGGTTTGTGGATGCCCACTTTACTGCGAGTCACCATAGGGTGAGCAAGGGGAGGTGGGGGAGGTGTGGGAGTAGGAGAAGGGGTTGTGAGCTGGTTGTGGTCGACAGGTAGTGCTGCAGGGGAAATAGGTGTTGGCTGTGTTATGGGACTGTTGGACGGACTGTTGGAACAGGGTGGTTCACTGTTGGAACAGTTGGAGGAACTGTTGCAACAGTTAGACGAAGTCTGATGGAGGAGGAACAGGGAGGGTGTGTTTTCGTCCAAGGCAGAAGGAGGAGGGGTGTTTTTGGGGGAAGTTGACTCAGCAAAGGGAAAGTTAGTTTCGTCGAAAATAACATGACGAGAAATTATAATTCGGCCAGTGGATCTATCAAGGCAACGATAGCCTTTGTGAGAGGAAGGGTGACCGAGATAGACACAAGGAGTAGAACGGGGGGCGAGTTTATGTGGTGTGGTGGCGGTGAGGTTGGGATAACAGAGACAGCCGAATACTCGAAGATGAGAGTATGTAGGTTTGATGAGGTAAAGAGCTTCGTGAGGAGTCCGGTTTTGTGTGGTTTTGGTAGGTAAGATATTGAGTAGGTGTGTGGCCATATGAAGGGCTTCGACCCAATAAGTAGGGGGAAGATGGGCTTGAAAGATGAGGGATCGAATCATGTTAGTTATAGTGCGGATCATTCGTTCTGCGTGTCCATTTTGAGGGGAGGTGTGGGGACACGAAAAACGGTTTAGGATGCCGTGTTTAGTGAAGTAGTTTTGAAAATCCGCATTTTTGAATTCACGACCATTATCACTTTGTAAGGCTTTCAGGGGATGTTGGAATTGAGTTTTGAGAAGTGTATGAAAATTGACAAAGGTTGTAAAAACATCAGATTTATTTCGAAGGGGAAAAGTCCATAAATAATGGGTAAAATCATCAACTAGCACAAGATAATATTTGAAACCCGTAAGACTAGAAACAGGAGAAGTCCATAAATCAGCATGAATAATTTAAAATGGAGCAACAGTAGTAGATTTTTGAGAAAAAAATGGTAGACGAAAATGCTTGCCTAATTGACAGGCATTACAAAGAGACTCCCTAGGGTCTTTATTATGGGAAAGAAAAGTGCTAGAAAATAAACGAGACATGACGTGTTTGCCGGGATGGCCTAGACGCCGATGCCAAAGAGTTCGAGACGAAGATGTTGCGACAGTGAGGAAAGCAGCGGGAGGTGAGGTGGGGGGAGGGACGCCAAATGGATATAGGTCACCGGAGCTATTGCACCTGAAAATCTCGACTCGACTCCGAAGATCCTTCACAGAAAAACCAAACGGATCAAATTCAACCGAACATGAGTTGTCGCGGGTGAACTTTCGAACAGATATAAGGTGTTTAACGATATTGGGTGTGACATAGACATTTGTGAGGCGGAAATGAGTGGTGGGAAGAATTGTGTGGCCTATGTGGGTTATGGGGAGGGTGGAACCATTACCGACGACGACATGTTTGGGGAATTTACTGCCAGGATTAAAAAAAAAATTGAAATTACCTGAGTGTGGTGCCATATGAGAGGTCGCCCCGCTGTCCATGAACCACTGTGACTCGGTAGGCTGCTGAAGTGTCACCGTATTCAAACGGTGTGCGAGATCCACCACGTTGGCACTGTTGCAGGAACTGTTGCAACTGTTGATGGAACTGCCAGAGCTGTGGCACGGTTGCTGCTGCGGATGAACCTGAGTAGGAGCCGAGTGACCGGTGTAGGGTTCAGGTGGTCCAGTAAAGTAGGCTTGAGCCGCTGGGTGGCCCGATGTATTTTGAGCGGATCCCAGAATTGACTGTTGTCGGTAAGGTGCGCGCCAAAGTTGAGATGCGCCATGAGCACTATGATAGCCGTAGTGCTGCATGGGGTGACGGTTAGTGTTGCGACCTCCGCGACGGTTGGATCGGCCACCCCCGCGCTGATAGCGCGAAGAACTACCTCCGCGGGAACTGTTGCAACTGTTGGATGGACAGTTCGCGTTGGAGGCGTAGAAAACAGCAGCGGTCTGCTCCGGTTCAGAAATTCTTGTTTCTTCCATCTGAAGGAGCGAACGAGTCTGTAGAAAGGTGGGAAGGGGATTTTGAAAGGAGATGAGATTGGCGACGGTCCCGTAATTTTTCGGAAGGCCGTGTAGGGTTTGTAGAACGAGTTGTTTGTCGGAGATTGGGTTTCCGACATCGGCCAAGCTGTCCGCCGTGGTCTTGATTATTTGGCAATAATCGTGAATGGAGAGAGCGCCTTTCTTGAGGGACTTGAATTTTTCTTCAAGTTGAATGGCTCGATAGTCTTTGTTATCGGTGAAGAGAGAAGAGATGGCGTTCCATAGATCACTAGCGGTGGAGGTTTTTGAGAGAACCATGCTGGATAGATCGTCGGAGATGGTGCCGTAGATCCAAGATTGGAGGAGATAGTCGGCGCGCTGCCATTCGTCGGCGGAAATCGAATCCGGTCGGGGTTTGCCATGGAGAAGATCGGAGAGGCTGAAACGACCGACGGTGATCGTAAAAAAATGGCTCCACTTTTGATAATTAGGATTTTTTAGATCTAGAGTAACGGGGATAAGGGATTTGATATTAGAGATGGCATGAGCGAGGTGAAAAGGATTGAGAGAGGCGGTGGAGGAAGAAGAAGAAGAAGAAGAAGTATCGCCGGCCATGGAGAAGAGAAGGGCGACGGCCGAGAGGGGGAGAAAGATGGTGACGGCTAGGTTAACCTAGTGTCTGATACCATATAGGAGAAATATATTTGGAGAAAAGAGAGAATCAATTATCTCTCACGTATATTAATCATATATATAGTTACATGTAGGAGCCCTAATCCTAACTACACAAGATAACCTATTATACAAGGTAACTAGAATAAATAGGAATAATAATAATATACGTAATATATATATAAAAGATACGCTAATATATATATATAAACAATAGTGTGTATTTGCATGTAAGTGTGTGTGCGTGTGGTGTAAAAAAGTGTGTGTGTGTAAAAAGTGTGTATGTGTATGTGTATATGTGTGTGTGTGAATATGTGTAATTGTGAAACTTGAGATATTAAACTACACAAGTTGAGATATTAAACCCTAAAAGTTGAGATATTCAACCTCATAAGTTGAATTAAAGATGCAATGAATCCATGTGGATCCAATCCGGATCGGTCTAAACTCGATCCACATTAAATCTATTCATGTAGGTTGATATTGGATCCGGTTTCTTTTGCATCCGATCCACATGGATCCGGATCGGATCCGGTCCAAGTTGAGAAATTGCCACCCCTAGTTTTCAGCCAATTTCTTGTGGTGGAGGTCTCCAGAGTTGGTGAGCAGCAACTTTGAATGATCTTTAGTAGTGCGGAAAACCCTAGAGACCATCTTCTGCACAGAAGATACGTGAAAGCCATTGATGATCGAGTTTATTCCTATTCAGCCAGATATGATCAAATAAGATGGAAACAAAAATAATGAATTCATCGAAGGGAGACGAAATGGAGCTTTAGTGAGGAAATCAAATCAATGATCCAATTAATCTTATGGGGTTCAATTTTAAAAGGCTCCACCAAATCTTTCTCATAGAGGCAATTATTTATAAGGAGAAGAAAAGCCGACATAGGAAAAGTGGGAATTATATGAAATCCACATATCTTTGTCAAACGAATTTCACCTTGCGTGAAAAAACATCAAAACGAGAATTATCTAAAATCCACATAGCTTCAACCTTGAAAGGTCTAGGACCACCAGAATTTTCAATACAAGTATTTAGGCAATAACAGAAATATAGTAGATTTACAAGCCATCATTTTCAATACCATGCCTTTTATTAGTCCACGTGAAAAGATTGCCATGAAAACCCAAGTTAATCAAACCAAGGTCATCAGAGAGACTGTGAGAGGAGGAAGAAGCAAAAGGATTGCCCGGCCCCCACGTTTTTCAGATTGAGAACTGACAGAGTTGAAATCTTCCGTTAGAAGCCACGAACAAGGAGTCTCAGAAGCAATGGAGTTTATCATGGACCAAAAAAAGGTTTTACCAGAAGGAGAACATAGGGGCATAAGCTAGGGGATGAGTGTTTGAGGTCATTTTTAGATGGATTAAATTTAAGTCTTTTTATATTAGAGCCTTCAGTTTGGGCGTTATAATCGTTTTACATGTTGAATATTTTGTGTAAAGGGATGATTAAATAAAAAAAATGGGTTTCTAATTGGTTGGAAATGAGATGAAAAATTGGGGTTTTGGGAACAAGTATGCAGGAATAACACATGAAGAAAACTCAGAATGTACTAAATAGCCTAATTAGATTCTTAGTTCAACATATAATTATTATTTAATCTTTTTAATTCATAATTTTGAAGCTATGAAATATTATACTACATAAGATCTCTTCAAATTTTATTGACTTGTAGCATAAGTAATAATTTGGGAAGCGAATCCAAAGCCCGATTATAGATTAAATATATTTTTAAAAAAAAATTAGTAGGTGTTAATCTAGATTGATGCATTATAAATTAACCAAGACATGCATAGTGATTCGTATATGATCTAGACCCGTCTTCAATACACTATTGTACTTAATTAGGTAAATTCAATGCATTTCACCCGGTGAAGAACGATTTTTTATCGTTGATCTATAGACACCAATATAAATGTGTGTATATGCTTATATATGCATAAATGGTAAAGATATATCCAGTAAATTTCATCCCATGTAGCATATAATAAACCACCCTCTATCTACCCACGGCCCCGCCCGTTACATTGATTACAAAGGAAAACTGCAATAAGCTAAGGATTAAGGAAGAAACAAATTAATGGACTAATAATAATTTTGAAAAGGGGCTTGCTATTATCAGTGCGGTTTTTACCACTCGCAGTGCAAAATAATTCATTTTTTTTTTCTTTTCCAAATCTTATGCAAATACCCTCTCAAACACTCTCAACCTTTTATTCTTAAAATTTATCAATTTTGGTAATTTTTCGACCAATATCAGTTAGAGCACAAGTATTATCGACATGGATGACAACGACTTCGATTTTGAGGTGAAAATACACGTTTTTTGTTCGTTTCCAACGTTTTTACACATTTCGTGTTATAACACACGAAATATATGCTTTCATTCCGTGTAATCCTATACGAAATATGTCTTAAAATCGTTTGTTGTTTGTTTCGTATACAATCATACGAAATTCAAGCTTCCATTTCGTGGTAAACACTACGAAATGCAAGCTATTATTTCGTGTGTGTTTACACGAAATGTAGCCTACATTTCGTATGTTTTTCTACGAAATCCCTTAAATATTGTCTTTTAATTTTAAATATTTATGCAGGAACTAAGAGAACAGTCTCACGATCATAGTCACTTCTTTGAACGTGGTATTGTGTGTGATAGTAGAGAAGCGTTAATCATGTGGGCAAAAGACACAGCAATTAGTCATAATCATCGACTGATTAATCATTTTAAATCAGAAAAACATCATGTTTTAACGTGTGCAACATATCAATCTGGACGACACGTACTATTAAAGAAACGTTCTTGTCCGTTCAGGTTAATTGGCAAAAAATCAACGGAGGATGGATTATGGCGATTGAGTGTGAGTAATGGTAATCATAACCATCTGCCGGGTATTTGAAAGTTTAACTTATGTTTAAATTTGTATTTGTTTTAATTTTGCATTCAAACTTATGTTTTGGAATATTTCAATTTGTAACGTTGTGTTTTGCATTTTATATGTTTAACCTATGTTTTTGGAATGATTAAATTTGTAAGGTTATTTGTAAGGTTGTTTAAATATGTACTTTAATTGCTTCAGTTGTACGTAGTTTCTAAATTCAAATCATAAAACTAGTGAATTAAAATACAAAACAACAAACTAGTAAAATAATTAGTTCATAATAAAAATAAAAATAAATTATTAAATTAAATAGTTCCTAACAATAATAAAAATGCATAGTCATAATAATAATAAAAATAAACTTTAAAATTAAATAGTTCATAAAAATACATAACTGGCAAAAAAGACCGATAAACTACCGCCTCGCTCTCCTCGGCGGCTGCACCTCATGATCGTCGTCGTCATCGTCGTCGTCGTTGTCGTTGTCACGGTCGATGCCAAGGTATCGGGCGGCGGGCTGCATAATATCTCCAAGATCGGCACGTAGATCGGCAAACTGCTGCATCCAGTCCTGTCCAGTGCTCCTGGTGATCGGGTACAGGGCACGTACTACCTGGTAATAAGCCGGCTGATCTGGTGGCCTCACATTCTCTCGATGCACTGGAGCCGGGCCTACGTCGGGGTTGTTGATCTTCGGATGAGTCCGATCGGTGTACCACTCCATGTAGTGCTCGTCGACTTCCCCCCGTTGTCGTGCCGTCTTGTATGCGCGGGCACGAATGGAATGAGCCTGGACCATGTCCCACATCCCACCCGGAAATGGGTAGTTGACTTTGTACGATGTACCTCCTTTGGGACCGCGTGAACATGGCTCCATCGACGGAATCAAGCCGCGCGGTATATCCTGAACCCACCCGAACTGTCGGACGCAACGATCAGGCATATACGGCTCTACGACCCACATGTACTGGATCGTGCCATGATACAACGTACGAGGGATACTCTCGTGTATATCCCGACCATACGGTAGCCACTCGACCTAAACAGAAAACAATATAAATACATAAATCAAAAAATTCATATTTAAACAAACTACAAGACATATTTAAATCAAAAAATTCATATTTAAAATTCATATCGAAAAATATATATTTCAAGAAATATAAATACATAAATATAAAAGACTTACATCATCCGCTGTCATATTGTCGAGTAAACCTCGAATATGCTCGAGCGTGCCCGCTTTTGGCGGCGCGTTCCACCTCTTGCATCGAGGCTGAAACTCGCGGTAGCGCTCGCTCTCCTCCGGCGGCTGGAATCTCGGGAAATACTCGTATATCCAGCACTGCAATATTTTATTTAAAGATATTAAAATTTATTAAAATATATTAAAATGAACAAAATAAGTTCCAAATATATTAAAATTTACCTGAAGAAGGGTGGTGCAACCCGCCAAGCCCCTCGACTGTGCTCGGCTGCATATACCCAACTCTCTGTATAGATTGGCCAAACAGGCCGAACCCCACGAATACGTGCCGACCTGATCAAGCACTGAATCCTCGAGCACGTGCATATACCACGGTTTCACCCGATCACATGTCTTGTCGGGGAATAAAATCGATCCGAGGAGAAACACCAGGTATATCTGAACTCGGCGTCTCATGGGCGTGTCGGGCATCAACAACTGTCCCTGTAACATCCTCCATGTGGGGCACTAATTTCGTGTGTTTGTCCACGAAATGACAGTGAAACAGCCAAAGTACATACGTTTCGTGTACAATTACACGAAACGTAAGAAAAACAAACAAATACGTCTATTTCGTGTACAAACTCACGAAATTAGCCCCTTAATTTCGTGAGTTTCTACACGAAATGTATGTTTATTTCCAAAAACTTTCGAACATAATCAAAATACTCAAAACGTATAGATTTTCGACGAAATTTGTTAATATACTACTATAAAAACATTGGGTCAATGATTTCGAGTTCGAATTTTACCTTAAATCGTTGTTGAATTGCTCGTTTAATCCGCAAGAAGTCGAAGAACCTTGGATAGGGTTTGAGAGAATTTTGAATTTTCTTAAGAAAAGTTACAAATGAAATAAAGTCGCACTGCAAGCCGGTAAAAGTTGTTCTATGAATAGCATTTCAGTTTTGAAAATTGTTAAGATTCATTTTTGAAATCAATTTCATTGGGGAAATGCATCAACTATAATTATTTTTTAATCACTATCTTCTACTACACATGATAAATTTAGGTCCGCTTTGTTTGATTGAGGAGATTAATCAAGATTAACTAAATAGTAAGATTAAGTTTGATGTTTGGGTAGTCCTGTTATTTTTTGGGTCCATCCGCCAAAATAATTTTGTCACGGCTTACCATTGTTAATGGGAGACGACAAATTAGACCTTAACAGATCCAATAAAATTACTGTGCTATAATTAGATCCAATAAATCCACATTAGTGTATATAAGAGATAGAGAGAGAAAGAGTAAAAAAAAATATACTATCCGAACGGATTAGGATTTTGTCGGTGGATTTGCAAATCTGACTTGCTATGAAGGTCATTAGAGAAAAAAGACTGGAAAATAGGAGATGAAAAATACTAATAATTAATATTAAAAAAATTACAAATATGCCATTAAGGTTTCTTAGATTGTCCTACTATTTCTTACTTTTATATATAAGATAAATGTTAGAATTGTCCTTCTAATTTTCATCTCTTTATCACAATAACATATTTAACTAATTTTGAAAACAAACTTAGTATAAAACAAAAATAATTTAAATTCAAAAAGATAAAGAAAGAAAGATTCAAAAAAATTAAAAAAACAAAAAAAATTGAAAAAATCATACTAAGCTATGAATGGGGTTATTAATAAAAACATATTAATGAAAAAAAAAAAAAAGTGCAATAACGTAACGTCCAGTAGACTATTTTAAATTGCTTATAGTGGATTTTAATATATTATCTGTAATTTGAATTTTGAACAAAAGCAGCATAGTGAGCTTGGAAGAAGAAGTATCGACGCAATTGGCTAATTCATTAAATAATTTTCTACAAAAAGACAACGTGTTAAAAAGACATAATCACAACCGTACAAAACCGCTGACCAAACAAGTCATCTAATCGAACGGCTATAATCAATCAAGGGAATGGCTCAACATTTTCGTCAGCGCTTTGACCAAAAACAACGTTGAGGAACAACCCAAGAAACCTCTTTCTTTTTCCAAACTATATATATATACCCAAACAATTTCCATACTCTTATAATTTATCACTCTTATTACATAATAATATTTTTCCGCTCTCTAAAATTTATTTGAACTATTTGTTTTTAATGGCAAACCCAGATGAAGTTTCGACTATTGAAAGAATCAGCATCTATCTTTTGGGGGAATTTTCTCCTCGTGACCTAGATAATGGTGCCGCCGCCGCCGCCGCCGCAACCAGCTTTACTGATTCGCCGGCTTCGTGTTCTGAATCGGATTTGCTTTCTGATTCACGTCTCTCGATTTCGGATTATTTCTTCGATTTTGAAGAAAATGATCGGTCGGTTATTGATCTTACTACGCCGAGATCGAAGCCGTCGCTGCGGATTCAAGTGCCGGCGGTGGCCGCGGTGAAAAAGTTCGAGTGGATCGAGTTCAGGGAATCCGGTGAGGGGAACTCGGTGGTGGAAAAGGTAGAGGAGGGAGAGGAGGAGCGGCACTACAGAGGGGTGAGGCGGCGGCCGTGGGGCAAGTACGCGGCGGAGATACGCGACCCCGCCCGCCGCGGGTCGAGGGTGTGGCTTGGGACATTCGAAACTGCGGCGGAGGCGGCCAGGGCATACGATAGAGCCGCCTTTAAGATGCGAGGAAGCAAGGCGATTCTCAACTTCCCGCTGGAAATTCAGCGGGCGGCGGATGAGGCCGGAGGGAAGCGGCGGAGAGAGGAGGAAGAAGTTGCCGGAGACAATGGGACGAAAACAGTGAAATATGAGACGTCGGTGAAGTGTGAAATGGGGGGGGAGTGGGGGCCATTGACGCCGTCGTTTTGGCAGTTATCTCCACATCACCCTATTCTCATCTCCTAGTTCATCACCATACCATTATTAGTGTTATGTATATTAAATTGTAATTAAAAAAATATTTATACAAAGAATTTTTTTTTATTTTAGAATTGTACAAATCAAACATATTAAAATCAACCACTATATATTTCCTCATATTAATCAAAAAAAAAAAAATTAAACCCTGGTGTCAACTAGCTAAGCATTCCCCCATATGAAATCGAAGAAAATTATTTTAATTTATTTAATTCATATATCTTTCTTTCCTTTCTTGAAAAGAATAAACACAAAGATTAAAAGTTGTTAATGAAGCATATCATTTAATATTAATACATATAATTCGTACTCTAAAGTGTAACTGGATTATATTTAAAGTATTGCACTTGAAATATTTGAAATGGGTGGCGGTTGGATTCAAACTCATGATTTTTTATTCTCTCTAACTTTAATAAATCTGATACCATGTTGAATAGTAGTACCATAGGGCCTCGTTCGGTTGGGAAGATTAGTCATTATTAACTAAATAATTCAACTTTGTTTGATATTTAGTATCATCAATATTTTTATTGGATGTCCTCGAATCTAATAAAATAATTGGGTTTTCATTAGATTATTTAATCTTATCTTATTTAATTTTATCTTGGCAACCAAACGAGAGCTAAGTGTATTTACTAATTATTTTTGGCATTTCTCGCATTTCAGCTTAGAAATTCATTAGCCAACTTAGGGTGTTAGGCTGAATTAGCTTGTACCTTCACTAAAGTGGAGCTTTTTCTTCTTGTTCAACTATAACATATTTTTATTTATTTATTGATTGATTGGGGTGCCTAGGTAAAAACAAAGGCAAACAATAGATTATTAACGTTTTGTGTAGATATCTTAATAATTTATTTTTAAAATCTTAGAAATTTAAATCCTTCTTAGCTGAGTTTGAATGGGTAAAATCAGTAAGTTGACAAAGTTGTGTGCATTAATGAAAATGTAAAAAAAGTCTCAATCCCATGTGAAATTTGTTTAAATGTCATCCTTTAATTTGTTGACTTTTGCAACCAAACAAATCTCCTCCGCGTTAGTATACGATTTGGTCACCATCGCTTTGTACATACTTTTATGTTTGTCAAGTTCTTATGACTCTGTCTTTCTTTGTCATGGCAATAGAATACAAGTCACCGGTCTATGTTCACATCTCTTATTTTATTTGAATATAATACAATTCAAAGGGGCTTGTTATTTGCTACAGCATTTTTGCTAGTCTCAGCAAGATTTCAACCATTTCAAATTTTTTTCCTTCAAAATTCTCTCTAACCCTCACAAACTCTTCGAAACATTTGAAAATCATTCAAGCTCCCCGACATTCAGTCCGTCACTAACTACTCTCGATTACGATAGTATTTTAGTAACTTACTTCATTTCAATTAATATATTTACGAAAAAGTGAAAAAAATGAATCTGATGTGGTTCCGTGCTCTATGCATGAAAAATCCAAAGAAGTTGAAGTTCTTTGTGCTCTAGACATAAAACTTTCAAAAAGTTGGAATTTTTCGTGCTCCTGGAGCACAAAAAACTTGAAATTCGTGGGGGGTTCATGCCCCAGAGCACGAAATCTTCAGTGTTTTTAAAAGTGTTCGTGCTCTAGAGCACAAAATGTGGCAAAAGAAAATAATCGCAAAAGTTTGATCGTAATAGGGGCAACAAACATAATATCAATGATTGTATCACTGACTCACACTTAAAAAAAAAAATCTTTTAAGTGACAATACCTATTTTTCACATACTTAGGCAAAAAGTTTAGTCACTATGCTTGTTACTAAAGGGGGGTCGCTAATGCTCTATAGTGACAATAAATAAGGATTAAGTGACAACAAAAAGAGCTATTAGTGACAATAAAAAAGATGTTGTCACGGCCTAATGTGTACATTAAGTGACAGCTTTTGCGTTTGTCACAATTGGGGCGTCGCTAATGCAACTTTTTCTTGTAGTGTCATTTTGTCGTGCCAGTATTCATATACACTTTGTGCATAAGGTGTTGTATCATGTCCTCCACCCCCACCCCACCCCCCACCCCCTCTACACACATATCCTCTTTTTTCATCTTCTCAAGTTGATTGTAGCCGTATTTTACGGACGGCGTTGTCTCCGAATTTTCATTTCTCAAGTTATCCACAGTTAATGGCGGCTTCACGTGGCTCCTTCTTAGTAACTTTACTACTTCATATTGATGTTATGTCAAACGACTACTCGGACCTTATCCGGTAAGATACGGTGTTGGCCGATAATTGGGTTTGCCATCTCTTACGGTCAGTCGCCATGATCTGTCATATCGATTCACACTACCGTATAATCGGAATGGGCATCCATATTTATTATCCCAATGTTCCGAGACTTCTCTAAATCAATTCGTTTTTGTCGTCCATGCCCAAACATATGACACGTCAATACCTAATAAGTCTTTTTGTCCCTTAAAGTACATATCAACTGATGAATTTAACTAGCAGCGGTGTTTTTCGCCCATTCAATAAATGTTTCCTTGCTTTCCCACGCAATATCCACAACATAAAAATGACAATAATCCTCAAATTCGAACATGTCCAATGAAACATCATAATATAAGTTGTCATCATTTGCTTCATTGTGTTGTTCTAGACAAGTAAAACAAAACAATAAAACACTCCGAAAAATATATTTATATATAAATAAATAAATAAATATTCTAAATTTAGGTCGTATTTTGCAGCACGAAACTTTTGGATGGTTTTCGTGCTCTAAAGCACTAAACTTTCATTTTTATTTATTTTTATTTTTTTTATATGTTTCATGTGAGCGGAGTCATCAGGCTTTTGGAAGGTCCGGCTCAACTGCCGGTCCTATATAAAGACAAGTTTCACAATTGTGTGTTGTCAATCTCTTATTTTCACCCCTCATGTTTCAATTACATTCAATTAGGTCTTCTTATTTAATTTATTAGCATTTTTTCCTTCTTTTTCCCGGCATATCTTTCTTTTATTGCATTTACTGATTTTATATTTACTTTCCTTTCAATTTTCCACGCGCGTGCTCATATTAAAAAACTGATAGTTTCAATTAAAATTCTTTGATTTTAAATTATATATTCCATAATATCATTACATACAAATTAACAAAATCCGGAATTCTCAAATATTAATTAAGGGGTTTTTGTTCATAAGTTCCCAACCAAGCATATTTATTATTCTAGGTGTATGGACTATATGTCTTTCACCAATAACCCAATCCCTTTAATATTTATTATAAATAAAGGAAACATTCATGTATATGCCAATATTACCCTCAACCCTTTATACCTAATTCTTAATTGTAACCCCAATTTAATCAATTTGTCCACAAAAATCCAATTTTGACCACAAAATTCAATTTTGACTTTTTTTGGAGCATACTTTAATATGCTCCAATTTCATCCTCAACTTAATTTAATCTCAATTTGACCCTAAATTTCAAAAATTATTCAATTATGACCCAAAACTTTTTTTTTTCAAAAAGAAAAAAAAAATTCAAAATTTTTTTTGTCGCCGGATTCTCGCTTGACCGGTGGTCAATGCCGGTCTCCGGCGTTGATTTTTTTTTTCTTTTCTTTTCTTCAGGATTTTTTCGTTGACTTTTTTTAGTGTTTTTTTAAGTTATTTTTTTATTTTTTTTTTGTTTGTTTTTTTTTACGGCCGCCGCTAAATGTTGACCGTAATTGTGCTGTCACTGACGGTAAATTAACTTAATTATACTGTCAATGATAGTTAATTAACGTAATTGTACTGCCGTTGACAGTAAATTAACGTAATATTATTATTTTTTTATTTTTTGTTATTTTTTTATTTTGTTTGATTTGTTGACAAGTCAACGTAATTATATTACTGTCGTTGACAGTAAAATAACTGTAAACACAATAATATTACTGTCAACAACATCAATATTATTATTTTTTTGGGTTTTTTGTTTTGTTTGAGTTATTCACGGAGTAACGTAATAATATTACTGTCTATTATTGTAATATTACTGTAAACACAATAATATTAATGTGGTTGACGGTAATATTACGATAAACACAATAATATTACTCTGGTTGACGGTAATATTACTGTTGTTATAGTAATATTGTTGTCAACCACATCAATATTATTATTTTGTTTGGATTTTTTTGTTTGTTTGAGTTATTCACGGAGTAACGTAATAATATTACTATCTATTATTGTAATATTACTGTGGTTGACGGTATTACTGCCACTCACAGTAATATTATTTTGGCTTTTTACTATGTTTACATTTGTTGAACGATCAACATAGTAATATTACTCTATTACACAATAATAATGAGTTTTGTTGTGTTAAAATTACTGTGCTAGAGATTAATATAGCAATATTACTGTATTAAACTATAGTTTAGTTAATTTTACTGTGTTTAACAGTAATATAGTTAATATTATTGTCAATCACAGCAATATTGTTGTTTAAGCGAAAAAAAAAAGTTACTAAAAGAAAGAAAAAAAATCGAAAAAGTCAACGCCAGAAACCGGAGAAAAAATCCGGAAGAAAAAAAAAATTAAAAGACAACGCCAGAATCCGGCGGGAAAAAAAAATTGAAAAAAAAAGTTTTGGGTCAAAATTGAATAATTTGTGAATTTTGGAGTCAAATTGAGTCTAAATTAAGTTAATGATGAAATTGGAGCATATTAAAGTATGATGGGTTATTTTAGTCCTTTACAAAAATCTGGACCATGTGTGGACTTATTGGTAAAGAAGATTTTTGTTTGGATCTCTTTATGAATAAGTACCCATTGATGGGCTTATTTGTAATAACCCCATCAATTAATTGCAATTCGTATCTATTTCTTCCTATTTCAAATTGCCATCTTTAATTGCCGATATTTTATTTATGGGGCAATTCGCCAAACACTCCTGAGCACTAATAGTCTTTTAAACCAGGACATTCGCACCTTTGTAATTTGTTAAAAGTCATTTAATCTTCAGGCTTCTTCATCTTGTTTGCCTCCATTAGATCTGTTCCACCCATCAAATTTGTTGCGCCTCCAATCCCGCTGCCATCGTCGATGCTCGGTCACACATGCACACACACATA